CAAGAGTGCGCAGAGTAGAGTGCGGACAAAAATATGCTGAATAGAGCGGGAGAAGGAGAACACATGGTATAACACAGGCAAGAGTGAGTAGAGTAGAGCGTGGGCAAGAGTGCAAAGAGTAGACCACGGGTAGGAGTGTGCAGGATATAAAACGGGCAAGAGCACACAGAGTATAGCGCGGGCAGGAGTGCGCAGAGTATAGTGCAGGGAGGAGTGCACAAAGTAGAGCGCAGGCAAGAGTGCGTCGAGTAGAACGTAGTAAAGAGTGCCAGAGTAGAGCATGTATAAGAGAAGAATAAAAAGAGAGAAGCAAGGAAGGAAGGCGGACCTACTCTAGGCATGGGTTGGTGATTCTAGACGAGAGAGAGTAAGAGAAGAAGAAGAATAGGAATGAAGGAGAAGAAGGGGAGTACATAGGCCCCTCCTTAGCTTGTACAGGGAAGAGAGAAAAGAAGAATGGGAGAGAAGGAAAGAAGAAAATGAAAAGAAAGAGAAGTTAGAGAGAGAAAGAGAGATAAAGAGGAGAAGATTGGACTTAGGGTGTGTGTGTGCCTAAGTACACCTCCATGAATCTACTTGAATGCATGTGTGAGAGAGAGAGGTTTAGAGTTTAGGTGTGGTGTATGATGTATGGGAGACGGTATGGTGTATGGAACGGACTATGGTGTATGGTAGTCTAGGGTTTGAGGAGTAGGGAATAGGCTACGCTGTATGGTAGTCTAGGGGTTTTTCTCTATCTAACAAATGTTTCTTTCTCCTCTCCTTTAGGTCTTGAACTTATGACCAAAGCAAAGAGAAGAAGCTTAAATTCACTCCAAATGCTCAAATATTACAAATGAAAGGCAAAAAATTCAAAGCCCTTCCAGAGTTCAAAGACCTCATTACTAGTGACTTGGGTTTCCTTATATAGAGCAACCACTAAACAAGGGTGGAATGCTCAAAAGTACCTAAAATTGTCAAAAAGTACACATTTACTAAGTTAAAATAATCATCCCGTATTTGTACCAAATAACCAAAATACCCCCAAGTATTTTTCAGCAAATGACAAAACCATTCTTCTATGAGGGGCTTCTCGCCATTGCTAGTCTTCGAGAGATTTTTTGGACATCTATGATGGTAATTCAGGCGATCAATCATCGTAAAATCGATGCTTGAAATTTTATGAACGATTTGATACCCTTGATCGCTTTGGAACAAATCTTTTAGGAAGAACTTAAAATACGACCAAGTCCATAAACTTTCGATTCTTCATCTATCAATGTAGGTTGATTTGTGATGTTCCAAGTCATCATTATTATCACAAATTGAAGATGAAATTTTCACAATCATTTTTTCAGTAAATTTTGTCCGTTTTAGTCTGGATTTAAGCACATTCAAAATTTGGGAGGTCATCGGAAAATGAGATTTTGGCGGCTGAAAAAGTATGTCATTCTTCGACCTCAAAATTCTTGTCATACGGCTTTCGATTACGCTTAAAACTTGCACTAAACTGTAGCTCTTCAAAGCACGATCGCAATGGATCCGTATTTGCGATGAGCTGGCATCGGGATCTTGAGCTATTGGCTTCCAAAGATTTTGGTTGTTCTGCTGTATAAATTTTAAATTTTCATGTTTCTGAGCATATTTTCTCTTTAGAAATTCTCTCATTTCGGGTCGCGCCAAGATACGTACCTATATCAAAATGACCGGGTCGTCAAGATCTATCTCGTGTCCAACTTTGAGCTCAATTGGACATAAAACAACCAAGATATGATCACTTTAAAATTAATGATAAGAGAGTTTCATAAATGGAAACTGGTTCACCGAGGTTGCATCGCAATAGTGTAAAACTCACACTTTTATGGTAAGTTAGGCCCATAATGGTCCTAGAGGGTTCAATTGAGCTGAAATTTGGTACCTGTTGGTTTTTCAATGTTCTAGATCTAATGGAAGTGGTCTGTTATTGTTTTGATACCTATAAAATAGGGTTGTAGTTGTAGGGTCAATTTTCAACATGATAGGAATTGGATTTTAGAACCAAGTTTCATCCTGATCAGATCAGAACTTGTCAGAATGGGACAAAAAATTTGTGAGTGTCCTTACGGCATCCCAAATTACCCTCTCATGCAAATTGAAGCCATTATGATACTTCTTTAGGGGTCGCCCAGATTTAGGCTTATTGTTGTAGTGTTACCATGGTCTGGCGGTGTCTTAGGTACTGTCAGGACCAGGTTACTACTGGCTCCTTACTTATTCACCTCGGGGATATAGTACATAAAAAATGATGTATAACAACTTTCCCCCCAAATGGTACTCTTGGAGAGAAGCGAGAAGTGTAGCATTCAGAACAAAACTTTGTCAAAATTCATCTTTCAAATCTTTAATAAGATGCCTTTATTTCCTCTGAACAATCTTTTTCTTCTTGATCATCAGCATCAACACGATCCTTGATGGGGAGACCATGCTAAGATTCTTCCCTAAGGGATGACTGAAGTGCTTTCTAGCGACTGGGGGCCTTGCTTAAAGGCTTCCATCCCAATGCTACTTGAATCTGTTTTCTGGGGGAGAATGCTGACCGGGTGCCATGTGGAAGGGCTTACCATTCAGTCTCGACAACACTTCCTAATGAGCTTGCTGGTGGGTGCCTTTGGGGCTTGCTCCCAATCCAACTAGGGCCTTTAATATGGGTAGAGCTGGTCTAATTTTCACCCAGTACCTTCCAATTAGTCCAGTCTCCTAGTGAGTGCCTTTTTTAAGGGCTTGCTCCCACATAGGAAGACGTCTTTTATTGCGATGACTGAGGGCCCTTCAAGGACTTGATCCCAGTGTGGCTAGACCTTCTTCATGGGAAGGGCTGGTCTGATTTTCACTCAGTACCTTCTAAGAACCTTTTCATGGGAAGGGCTGGTCTGATTTTCACCCAGTACCTTCCAATTAGTCCACTCTAATGAGTACCTTTTTTTAAGGGCTTGCTCCCACATAGGAAGACATCTTTTATTGCGACGACTGAGGGCCCTTCATGGACTTGATCCCCAGTGTGGCTATAACTTTTTCATGGGAATGGTTGGTTTGAATTTCACCTAGTATTTTCTAAGAACCCTTTATTGGGAAGGGCTGGTATGATTTTCATCAATACCTTATAAGAACCTTTTCATGGGAAGGGCTAGTCTGATTTCCACCAAGTACCTTCTAAGAACCTTTTCATGGGAAGGGCAGGTTTGATTTTCATCCAGTACCTTCTAATCATGGGAAGGGTTGGTCTGATTTTTACCCAGTACCTTCTAAGAACCTTTCATGGGAAGGGCTTTTTTGATTTTCACCCAGTACCTTCTAAGAACCTTTTTATAGGAAGGGTTGGTCTGAGTTTCACCCAGTACCTTCCAATTTTTGTTGTAATTGGTTGACGTCGCCTTTGGTCGCAAGCTGCATCAACCTGTTTATTAGTCTGAATGCCCTTTTCGGTTTTCACCTGAACTTGATAGAAGTGGCACTGCAGGATGATTTTCATCAACTTCTTTTATTGAGGCTCTTTCACTTGTGACTTCAAGGTCACGTCCACCTTTTATTTTCATTTTCACACATGGCACCCTTTTCGAGTTTTCACCATGCCCGGTTTCTTATTTTCAGAACACTTTTACTCATGGCTTCATGGCTATGCCTGTTTGTCATTTTTACTCATGATGACCTTTTGGATTTTCCCCATTCCCAATTTTTTTTTTTTGATTATTTTACTCATAGCTTCGTCACTATGTTCACTTGAAGCTCTTATTTTTACTTATGCTGATCCTCATCGGATGCTCATTATGCTTGACTTCTTCTTCTTTTTAGGAGACATACCTCTTCCTTGGCAGTGCAAGAGATGAAGGGTTCATAAGGCTCACTGAGGTAACAAATACCATAGGTGAGGCTTTTATTTGGAGGTAAACGCACTGGGGTTTTTTTTTTAGTTTTTACAAGGTGATGTATGGTTCACACTTGTTGGGTATGAAGGTTTTAGATGGTCCAATAGCTAGTTGATGCACGAAAATCTCCTTGGGGGTAAAAAAAAAAGTGTTTATGGGGAAAAGAAAATGGTTATCTCTCCCTCTGGGATTCAAGAAGATCACTTAGGTGATGAAAGTATGACATGTTTCATCGTGGTATTCTTACACCATTGGAGGGGGGGTAGTATTCTACTGGGGTTATGGTTTATTGGCAGTAATGACCCGCTAGGGATGTCGGTCTACTTTAGATATTGGTTTGTTGTGGTGCTTGGACAGCTAAAAGTATTGACTTCACTAGAGATGTTGGTCCCTCAAGAATGACGATCCACCGGGGATATTGGTATATTGGGGTTAATTAACCATTCGGGGTGATGGTTTATTGGCAATAGTCAACTAGGAATGACAGACTGTCAGGGATTGATGGATTGTTGGGATTAATGACTCCCTAGGGATGTTGACCCATCAGGAACAACGAGTATCTAGTCCCTTGCTGATAGTGGTTCACTGAGGATAGTGTATCATCAAGGGCTCTTATGGCGCATTGAGCATGACAATACTCACGGGGTCTCATGGAAGTTCAAATGAGCAAGGTATGTTTGGTATAGTTCCATGGGGATAATGGAGTTTTAAGGTGAAACCCAAGTGAACAAGGATTGTTAATATGGTTTATAACGGGGTTAGGGTTGGTGAACGGGATAATTTAGGATTCCCATGTTTCTTGTGAGCTATCAAGTTTTTCTAATGGATAGTGGGTGTCAACCCCAATGAGAGGCTTGCGTGTATTTTGAAGTTTCAATGCAAAGGTGTATCTCCATGTATTCCCAATGGGGATTAGGTGTATCAGGGATGTAACTCTATTTGGGATGGAGATCATTAAAGACCAAAACTTCTGTAGGGTCCATTGAAAACATTTTAAACTGAATCCAAGGTCATACTGGATAAATTCAAGGATTAATGTGAAAGGATTTTGAAAAGGGGGCCACTGAGCTCAGATCTTTGGGCTTCACCTAGCCTTAGGTTACTACTGAGGGGTTGGTGTGTAGGTAGAACAAGGAGCATACCTTTTTTTTTCACCTTGTGTCAAATGTGCACAAGTGTGTGTTGAGCTCAAGGTTAAACCATCGGTTCGTGTAAGTTGATTGAAAGATGAGAAAAAAGGGTGAACTGAGAGAAGAGTAAATGTGTCTACGCCCAGGGACAGGCTTGGAGCTTTTGATGAAAGAGAGAGAAATGAAGTGTAATTTGATAGGGTCCGCACTTAGGCGCGGGTGTGGAACTTGTTGGCAAGTGAGAAAAGGAGAGATGGAGTGAGAGAAAACGCCGCTAGGGAGATAGAACGTCACTTGACGGGCCCGCGGTTAAGCGCAGCCAGAGGAACTATGCCAGAGAGATGAAACGTCATTTGATGGGCCCGCGGTTACGGGCAGAGGAAACGATGCCAGAGAGATGAAACGTCGTTTGATGGGCCCATGGTTAGGCGCGAGCAGAGGAAACGACGGCAGAGAGATGAAATGGGCCCGCGGTTGGGTGCGGGCAGAGGCCTATAGAAGAGGAGAGAGAGAGAAAGGGATTTTTACCCCAAACTTTTAACCATAGGTAGCGCCAAGCTTTTACAATCTTCGCTTCTCTACTGTAGATCTTTTGAAGCCATGACCTCGGCTAATACGAGCACTCGTACCCCCAAAGGTATTTTCTAACCCTTCTTTTTCTTACTGCTTGTGCTTGGTAAAAATAAATTTCACTGCCCTTCCCTGTCATTTTTACGGCATCAACCATGTGTTCGATGCTATGCTTGACAGCTCCTTTTGGTGTATCTTGGATGCCTTGGTTTTCTCTTAAGTACAATTTCACTGTAACTTATCGTTTTGGGTTAGGGCCATCTTGGTCATGCTTGACTCAGTCGCGCCTTACTTGTACTGTGCATCCTTCTGCGTACTGCTCTCATTACTTAGAGCATTATTCTGCACTCTACTTTACACCTTGTTTAAGCATTGTGACTCCATTTGGGGGCATTTTTTACCATCATGACCATCCTGGCCATGCTCAACATGATGCTTGAGCATTTTCTTCTTGTCAAGGCATATCAGTGTATTTGGTGAACACTACTTTTCACAGTACTGAGCATGAACATCTTCTTGTGTACTGCATCAGTGATTGATTGTCACAATTTTTAATCTATCATGAATCACGATATGGGCAGGCATTTGAGTACTTTTGTTGTCTTACAGTCATGACTGAGTTTCATGAATGAATTCTGTGCACTATCCTCATTACCTGGTTGCAAATAGTCATCATGAGCACCCCTTTGTATTTCTCATCAAAGTTTATGAGTTCAGGTGTTATTGGGCATGAACACCACACTGTGTTTGGTCCTCTCGCACTTTGTCCGTGATGCATATTTCATTTCCTGCCATATGAGCAGTGATCGATAGTTACAACAAAATATGTTTGTCATAAACATTTGGCCACAACTTTGTGAATTCTGTGAGCTCGGACATATTTTGGTGTTTCTCGTCATCACAAAAAAAAAAAACACTGTAAAACATGTTTTGAGTTTTTGTAACTGTTGCTTGATTTGTTATTATTCATTTTTTGGGTTGCATGCTTATATTCTTGTGCTTCTTGTGTAGCCAATCCTCCTGGCAGGATGAACACTCGAAGCTTAAATAGGGCTTTAACTCTTTGGAATGAGGCGAATCAGATGATCAACCAAACTTCAGAAAAGGCTACCATCATCCCTGATAACGCTATCAAGAAGGTCCCTTTAGCAACTAAGGAAGGAATAAAATGGAGTTCTACCCTTGTTATGGGAGAGGAACCAAACAAACACCCAGTTTTTATGGTTGCCTCTTACTCGGGGCAGGTTATCAAACCTCTTGGCTAGTGCACCTGTGGAGGCTTTGTCATAGCGCAAGTCAGGATGCCCTTCCCTGATCATGTCAAAAGGCTCAACCATCATAGTTCTAAAATCTGTACTATGGACACATGACATGATCTTCTCAGGGCCACTTATCAACTCTTTGGCATGGCTTCTCTTTTTTGAGCTGGCTATGTTTCCCTCTTGTGAAGAAAGCACCCCATAGATCCCTTGCATGGGCTTATTGAAGGAAAAAATGGAAGTGACAGATCGAAGGGCTAGGGAGATCTTGGAGATAGAAGACCTGGCTTCTATTGAGAATAATCCTTTTATTATGCCTTTACTTAGATTATTATTTGGACCCCCATCTATAATGGACTTTGCCGAGGTGATTCTGAAAGAGCTCAGAACTGATTTGCTATTGCAACATTTTGTTCATTCAGATTTTGAGCCCTTGCCCTTGGACAAGCCTTCGACCTTTAAGCAAATTGAATATCTCGAAAACAAGAGTGACATGGCGATTCTTTGATGCAATATCCAGAAAATACTTATCATGGCACGTAAAGCAAAGGAAGACCCATCCTCGCATCTGTTAGATCATGGGGAATATCCTCCTTTGGTCCGGAATATTGCCTATCTCAGCGTGGCAGTTCTGAAGGATATGATAAAGAAGGTGCAACAAGACTTCTATGGGCTCAATCATTGGAAGAAATACTCCTTGACATACCCACCTTTAATGTCTCTGTATTTTTGTTGCAAATATTCCTATCCCTAGTTTCAGACAGTGAGAATGTAACTTGTATATTCTTTTTTAATATGAAATGAATGTTTTCTCCTTTTCATCTTTGCCTTGTATGCTTCCTTTTTATTCTGTAGTTTTCTCTTCTCTTCTTTCTCTCGACTAACCCTTGCTGATTCTGAAAGAGGTAAGAGATGAGCCAGGAGGTTTGCTTGGCTTGATCTCCGGCATATTTGACTTGAATGCCCTGTTGGGTTTTCATCCAAGTCCTTGGGGTGTGTGCCATTTCTAGTTTTCACAAGAACCTCATATCTTCTTTTTTTAAGCTGGCTATGTTTCCCTCTGTTGTGAAGAACTTGATGAAGAACCTCATAGATCCCTTGCATGGGCTTATGGAAGGAAAAAATGGAAGTGACAGATTGAAGGGCTAGGGAGATCTTGGAGACAGAAGACCTAGCTTCTATTGAGAATAATCCTTTTATTAGGCCTTTACTTAGATTATTATTTGGACCCCCATCTATAATGGACTTTGCCGAGGTGATTCTGCAAGATCTCAGAACTGATTTGCTATTGCAACATTTTGTTCATTCAGATTTTGAGCCCTCTCCCTTGGACAAGCCTTCGACCTTTAAACAAATTGAATATCTCGAAAACGAGAGTGACATGGCAATTCTTTGATGCAATATCCAGAAAATACAAGGTTTGCTTATCATGGCACGTAAAGCAAAGGAAGCCCCATCTTTGCATCTTATCATGGCACGTAAAGCAAAGGAAGACCCATCCTTGCATCTGTTAGATCATGGGGAATATCCTCCTTTGGTCCGGAATATTGCCCATCTCAGGGTGACAGTTCTGACGGATATGATAAAGAAGGTGCAACAAGACTTCTACAGGCTCAATCATTGGAAGAATTGACTCCTTGACATTCCCACCTTTAATGTCTCTGTATTTTTGTTGCAAATATTCTTATCCCAAGTTTCAGACAGTGAGAATGTAACTTGTATATTCTTTTTTAATATGAAATGATTGTTTTCTCCTTTCATCTTTGCCTCGTATGCTTCCTTTTTATTTTGTAGTTTGCTCCTCTTCTTTCTCTTGACTCCTTGCTGACTCTGAAAGAGGTAAGAGATGAGCCAGGAGGTTTGCTTGGCTTGATCTCCTGCATATTTGACTTGAATGCCCTGTCGGGTTTTCATCCAAGTCCTTCGGGTGTGTGCCATTTCTAGTTTTCACAAGAACCTCATATCGTTTTTTTTGTGGCTCTTTTACCCATGTTTTTTTGCACCATGTCAGCCATTGTCATATTTTTAGTCACGATGCCCTTGCGGTTTTCATCATGCCCATTTTCTTTTTATTTTTTACATAATTTATTGGCAATAGTTGATGTTACTATTACACCCGTCATTTCTTTCTCTTTTTTTTTTCTTTGACTTTCACCCATGATGCCCTTGCGGGTTTTCGTCGTGTTCGTCTTTTCGAGGAAGCAGTTTTAAGGTCAAGCCACCGTGACTGTGGGGAGGCGTGTTTAAAGTTATGTCATTGTGATTGTTGATTTGGTGTATTTTAAAGTCATCCACCAAGACCTAATGGAGGCAGTTTTAGGGTCATGCTTTCAAGACCATATAATCGGTGTGTTTTAAGGTCATCTACCAAGATCGAGAGAAGGCAGTTTTAGGGTCGTGCTTTCGAGAATGTAGAGTTGGTGTGCTTTAAGGTCATCCACCAAGACCAAGTGAAGGTTGTTTTAGGGTCATGCCTTCGAGACCGTCGAGTCGGTGTGTTTTAAGGTCATCCACCAAGACCTAGTGAAGGCAGTTTTAGGGTTGTGCCTTTCGAGACCGTAGAGTTGGTGTGTGTTAAGGTCATCCACAAAGACCAAGTGAAGGCAGTTTTAGGGTTGTGCCTTTGAGACTGTTGAGTCGGTGTGTTTTAAGGCCATCCACCAAGCCTGTGCATAGGCAGTTTTAGGGTCATGCCTTCGAGACCATAGAGTTGGTGTGTTTTAAGGTCATCCACCAAGACCGAGTGAATACAGTTTTAGTGTTGTGCCTTCGAGATTGTATGTGATGCAATTTAACGTCATGCCACTAGGATGTGTGCTATAGTTTAGGGTCGTATAGCTTGGACCATTGCCATGCAGTTTAAGGTCGTGTGGCTTGGACCGTGTCTATGAGTAATACTCCTTCAAGTATCTCCCATTGATTGGGGGCATAGCTTCTTCACCTTCAGCATTAAACAGTATATAGGCTACATTAGGAAAAGCCTTTTTCACCATGAATGGGCCCTCCCATTTTGGCTCGAACTTCCACTTGGTTTGACCATGCGTGATGATTGGTCTTCTTACTGCCGGGACCAACTCTCCCTTCCCGTTCTTTAGTTGTCATTCAATAATGAAGGGTTATTTTGGGAGAAGGTAATTGAATCTCTAAAGGCAATCCGACCTCACCCCCATATACCAAAGAGTAAGGTGTCAACTAAGTTGGACCTCGAGCTGTTATACGATAGGCCTATAGGATTTCAGAAAAGCCTTTCATGCTAATCCATTTTTGTGTTAGAGACAGACTTTCTCAAAGCATCACAAAGGGTCTTACTGAAAGCTTTGGTCAGGCCATTATCTCTTGGATGGTACATGGTCGCGTATTTCCATTGAACCCGAATTGGCTGACCAGACAGTCAATGTGATGACTTCGAAACTGTGGACCATTGTATGAAGTGATTCGGTCAGGTACACCGAATCTATATATGATATGTTGGCATACAAAGTTGGCCATTATAAGTCTCGTGACCTTTTAGAGAGGGATGACTTCTACCCATTTGGAGAAGTAGTTTGCGGCAGCAAGTACGAAGACATGCCCCAAAGAAACCAACGGTTCAATAGGACCTATAATGTCCATGCCCCACTGAGAAAAAGGTCAGGAAGCCATTGTTGGGTGAAGGGGTTCAAGAGCTTGATGAATGAAGCTTGAATGGATCTGACACACCGGACAAATCCTTGCGAACATGAGGGAATCAATGCTCATAGTAGGCTAGTATTAACTTATTCTGACAGTTATGCCGTACAGTTTATGGCCAAATTTATGCATTCCACAAACTCTAGCATGAACATCTTTGAGCACATGGTTTACATCTTTCTGATCAATGCACATAAGCAGCATACTGTTGTAAGAGATTCGGAACAAGGTGCCATCACGACACATGTATCGAGTGGCTGATCTCCTTATCTTTCTATGTTCAGTAGGGGCCGTCAGGAAGTCGATTATGCTGCAGGTAGTCCTCTATAGGGGCACGCCAGTTTGTTATTGGCTCTACTTCTACACATAAAGGTTCTTGAAATTCCGAAACTCCTCTTCTTCCTCTTTCTCTTCCTCGTCAATTACGGGAGATTCTTGAGATTTGTTCAAGGCTTACATGGCCTTTCTTGCTGCAATTAGTGCCCTGAATGGGTAAGGGGGACATTCTTTAAATTGCATTTCATCTTCATTATCATGTTTTTTGATAAACTCAACACATCTCGACTTAGCTACCCATACTGGTGTGGGCTCCTTCATTGGGATTTGAATTGTTGCCCCTAATTTGGCAAGCACGTCAGCTTGTGAATTAAGCCTTCGCGATACGTGCTCAAGAGCAACTTCTTTAAATTCTGACATCAAGGATTTAGCGGTTTTGAAGTAAGGCATGAGGTTATCTTTCCTTACGTCATACACCCCTTTGAGTTGCCTGATGACGAGCTTTAAATCTCCATAAATGGTCAAGTATTTCAAGTTCATATGAGAAGAAATCTCTAAACCTATGATAAGCGCTTGATATTCTGCTTGATTTTTCGACTCTATCTCTAGGAGAGAGAATGATAATGGGAGAAGGCCATCCTAAGGGGTGAAGAATACCACTTTAGCACGACCACATCTTTCAGACTAAAATTCCCCATCAAAATGCATCTTCCAATCATATGAAACTTCAACATGAAATACTTCTTCTTCCGGTAAGTCATCCAATAAAGGAGAATCAGCTAGGAGAGGATGTGCAGCCAAGGAATCTACGAGGGCTTGACCTTTGATAGCTTTTTGAGGCACATATGTAATGTCAAACTCCATGAGTAATGACCATTTCGCAAGTCGCCTCGACAAATAAGGGCACGGCAGGAGAAATTTAATGGGGTTAGCATAAGAGATGAGGTGAACCGGATGTGCAAGCAAATAGTGTCTGAGCTTCTGTATTGCAAATATCAAGGTCAAACACATCTTCTCTATAGGATTATAGTTTTCCTTAGCCCCTTGCATCCTTCGACTTAGAGAGTATAGAGCTGTCTCCTTTCCTTTATCATTATTTTGGGCCAGCAAGGCACCGAGTGACTCATCTAGTGCAGTCACATATAAGATTAGGGGCATCCCTGGAATTGGTGCAAAAAGAACATGGGGTTTCAACAGGTAGTTCTTGATTTCTTCAAAATCTGTTTCACATGTTTCGTCCCACTCGAAAGGCATGTCTTTCTTCAGTAGACGGGAGAAGGTTTGACACCATCCTGAAAGGTTTGAGATGAATCTCCGGATGTAGGAAGGCTTTCCTTGGAGGGATCTGAGCTTTCACAGATTTCTTAGAGATGGCATCTCTTGAATAGCTTTAATTTTGGCAGGTTTGATCTCCAAACCTCAATACCTGACAATAAATCCCAAGAACTTCCCTCATCACACACCAAAGGCACACTTCAAGGTGTTCATCTTGAGTTGATGAAGACAAAGTCTTTCAAAAATATTTTTCAGATTCCATATATGACTGTCTCTTTCATTGGACTTTACTATGAGATCATATACGTAGCATTCCACTTCTTCATGTAACATATCTTCGAAGACAGTGGTCATAGCCCTTTGATAGGTGGCTCCGACATTTTTAAGACCGAAAGGCATCACCGTATAACAGAAAACCCTTTTAGGAGTTAGGAAGACAATAGACTCTTCATATTATGATACCATCCTTACCTGGTTATACCCTGAATAACCATCCATAAAGGAAAAGGCCTGGAAATTGGTTGTCAAGTCAATTAGCAATTCAGTGAAGGGAAGTGAGAAGTCATCCTCAGCACAAGCCCCATTTAAGTCGTGGAAGTCA